TATGCTATTGCCATTGTCTAGTGAAATTTTTGGATCATTTGGATTGCTTAGTCCAATTTTCTGAAGCAATGACTAAAATCTGGGATATTGTTAATTATTGTATTTTATAGTTTCCATATGTTCTTTTTCAGTATTTCATATTCTCACTGTCACTAGTGGTATGTTAAATTCAAAAACCTGAAATTCAGCATCTGAATTCCATTTCTGTTCGTGACTATAATTTCTTGTTTAACCACAGTAGAGATGATACATATTTTTTCTATTAATCATTTTATATTCAATTTAATTTATGTACAAAATATATTATTTTCTGGACTTTTTAGACGTGTCCCTCTGAGGAAATGATACTTTAGGCATTTACATTTAAAGTAACGTTGCCCATTTTTGGTAGTGATCATCAACACTTTGGGTGAAGCTGAACTTTCTATTTCATTGTCTAATAGGATCGTGATGCATTTTAATGTTGAACAATGAATCAAGTGACTGATTGTCATCTAAACGAGTAATGATCACATTCACTGCTAATTTATCATACTATATGAGATCAAGATAGCGTGTTTAATACCATTATTAAAGAGGAGTTGGCTTCTTAATTTTTTAACTCCATGATACAATAAATTACTCTAAATTTAATTATTGGAAGCATTATGTATTTTCATAGAATGAATATCTGACTTCAGCTTTACGACCGATAAATTATCGAGGATCCCACGTCAATTTGTTTATGAGAAGTGTTGTGAAAACTCCTCGAGAAATCTTGATTCGGGCTCAGAGAAACCACCAAATGAATACCACAACCAACAAGGCTTGACCCACAATGTTTCACTTTCGATTGCCTTTTCTATCCGCTATGGTTACCCTTCTTCTAACCCACAAAGGACACAAGGGGGGTGATTTGCGAGCCACACATGGAGGAAAGAGAAGAAGAAAACAATGGTTGAAATCACTCTACGGAGCTCTCTCTCTCTCTCTCTCTCGACTGCCTTTTCTCTATGGTTTTCTCTGCACTTTCTTGCACAGTAAACACAAACTCAATTTTGTATTATCTAAAGTTTGGGCTCCCTATAATGAAAAAGAAATAGAATAGATGAGTAGGATACTATATTCTAATGTGATTGGATCTATTATATATTTGATTGTTTGCACTAGACGAATTTAGCTTTTGCTGTTTTTTACTCTTAGTAGGTATATGTCTAATCCTGATCCTGAGCATTGGAAAGCCTTAAAGTGGATGTTAAGGTATTTAAATGGGACTAGTGATATAGGTCTAAAGTTTGGTACTAATAAAGAATGTGTGAAATTGAAGTGTTTTGTAGATGCTGATTGTATAAGGGATAGAGATAATAGAAAATCTACTTCTTGCTATATATTACTTTGTCCAACTCTTGCATTAGTTGTATGGCACAGTTACAACAAATAGTTGTACTATCTGCGGCATAATCAGAATACATTGCTACCACTGAAACAATTAAAGAAGCTTTGTAGCTTAGAAATTTGCTTCATGAAATTTGATTTTTAATGATTATGTAGTAGTATATTCAAATACTATGCTAAAATCCTGTTTTTCACAAACGCGCCAAACATGATGTTAGACTACATTTTTTTTAGAGATATTGTATCACAAGAAATGATAAAACTTGAAAAAGTCCATATACAATTAACCCCTCAGACATGAGCACTAAAGTGGTGTCATTGGTGAAGTTTAGAAGTTGCAATGATATTTTAAACATCAGCGAAGGTAATAATTTTCAATTTTATTGATTCTCCTTTTTTGGAATTGTCACTAACGAGCAATAATGTTTTCTTATAGGTCTCTTCATACCAAAGTGGAAGTTTGTTTGACAAGTTGTTGTCAAACGACCTCCCCAGTTATGATGTAACTCGGTTTAATTTTTCTCAGTCGGTATTAAGGAAAGATCAGGGCTTCAATTTGGAGAAGCCCAACCTTAAGTAAATCTGTGTCCCTGAAAGCAGTGGCTTCGCACCTCTCATGTTCTTATAGAAATCAAGAACCTAAGGAACTGACATGGCCTCCCTAGTAAGTTTTCACCCGAGACCAATGAGAATGGCAAATATTGCAAATTCCATGAAGACAATGGTCACACAATAGAAGAGTGCAAAGACATACACAAAGAGATAGAAGCTCCATTAAAAGAGGAGCTTGAATGGACCTTAAAATGTGCAGAGATGCCTTCGTAAATCTAAAGGACACCTTTGTCAGGCTCCTCAATTGTCCAAAGAATAATGCTATTTGTACCTAGTTGGGTTTACTTTCTAAAGCGCTCTTTAAAGAACTTTGACTCATCTTTATTTTTCATGTTCAACTCTATCTGTGGATAATGTTGGCCATTTTCTGAACTTTGCTTTGCAAATGTGTAAATGTCGAAGGTTTATGGAGTTTTTAGGACTCCAAGAATTTGCTAAATAGTTTCTTCAGACTTTTAGTATTTATAATTGCATAATTTGTGGATATTTTCTGTTGATGCATCATTCATCACGTAAGCAAAGCATTTCAGGAAATCGATATGAGGTATTTGGATTTGGAGAAACTGGTAAAGGCAAGGTTAAAGTATTGTCGTCTCGAAAATTCAAATATTCCTTATTTGAAAGGCAATTTTTTACCAAAAGCAAGTCAAAAACTTCAGATTTATTCCTCCTGCAAAAACTTTAGCTC